GGGTGCCCGAGGGGGCAGCCGGACACGGGAGGACAGTGGAGAAGTGAGCGAGGACAGGACCCCCAGAGGGGTCAGCCAGGGAGACTGCAACCGGCCGACCAAGCGGCGTGAGTGTGGTGCGGTCCCGAAAGAAGGAGCGAGAAGTCCCAGAGTCAAGTGTAAAGGTGAGGGAGGCCGAAGCCAACGCGGTACCTGAGAGCGCAGCCTCACCCGCACCTGAGGAAGCAGACTCACTAGCACCTAGAGTAGCAGCCGCACCTGTACCTGGAGCAGGAGACTCACTAGCACCCAGAGCAGCAGCAGCCTCACCAGTAGCTAGAGCAGCAGATCCTATACCCGGGTCAGGCGGGACGCACAGGTGACCAGCACGGTCAGCACTAGTAGGCAATGCATACATGGCAGTGAGAATAGCATCATAGTCAAGAGCAAATATATCTACCCTCTGCCTAAGCAACTCCACCCAGTCGGGGAGCTCAGCCTCGTCGCCAAACACGGTACGCCAGGCGTCGCTCAGACGGGCGAAGCAGCGGGACTGTGTATGACTAGGTGTCCCACAAGGCTGACCAGTCCGAGCACCAGTGAGAATCACGTAAGAGCAGCGAACAGAACTGAGAGACCCTCCACTCTGAGCGTACCACTCACGAAGCTGCTGAGGCGTGAGAGACGCGCGGGGGGGTCGCGGAAGCTGCATCTGGCCGCCACCAGTAGTAGAAGCAGCAGGAGTGGTAGCAGTAGTAGCGCCACCACCCCTACAGCCCCAACCAGTGTACCACTCACGCAGCTGCTGGGGCGTGAGGGACTCACGCAGACGTCGATGGGGCTGCATCTGGCTCCACCAGTAGAGGCAGGAGCAGGAGTAGCAGCAGTAAGGCAGGCAGCCAGGCAAGCCAAAAAGGGAGGCAGGCGGGCAAGCAGGCGACGCGCAGCGTGCTAGCAGGGCAGGGGCTCACCAGTGGTGGGTAGAGTAGGCTCGGCGACTCAGCGGCTCGGCAGCACGGCGGCTCTGCGGCTCGGGCGACTCGGGCGGCTCGGCGGCAGGGCGGCTCGGCAGCAACTGCAGCTCGGCAGCTCGGCGACCCGGCGGCGCGGCTGCTGGGAGGCTCGGGTGTAGAGCGGCTCGGCTGCAGGGCGGCGCGGCTGCTGGGAGGCTCGGGTGTAGAGCGGCTCGGCGGCGAGGCGGCTCGGCTGCAGGGCAGCTCGAGACGAAGGAGGAGGAGAAGCAGGGGAGACCACACACCTGCCACCCCTCAGCGGCCCCCTCAGGTCGCCTCGACAGGCGACGGGAAAAGGGGGGGGGGGGGGGGGGGGGGGGGGGGGGAGGCGGCTCGGGCGGCTCGGGCGGCTCAGGCTGTCAGCGGCACAGGCGGCTCGGGCGGCTCGGCTCCTCAGCTGCGCAGACGGCTCGGGCGGCTCAGGCTGCACGGCGGCTAACGGGCGGCGTGGGGGGGCCGGGACGGCGGCGTGCAGCAGGGACGGGCGGCGCACGGGCGGTGTGAGGCCGGGACGGGTGAGGGGCCAGGACGGGTGGCGTCCTGGCGCCGAGGGGCCGAGACAAGAGAGCGCGGCCGGGGCGGGCGGCACAGGGCGGCCTGGGGCCTGAACAGGCGGCGCGCGAGCGGCTAGGGGCCGGGACGGGCGGCGCGCGGGCGGCTAGGGGCCTGAACGGGCGGTGCGCGAGCGGCTAGAGGCCGGGACGGGCGGCGCGCGGGCGGCTATGGGCCTGAACGGGCGGCGCGCGAGCGGCTAGGGGCCGGGACGGGCGGCGCGCGGGCGGCTAAGGGGCCGCAGGGCAGGCCGAAAGAGTGAGAGCGAGGGCCCGGAGCGCGCTCCGGGCAGAAAAAAAAAGTTTAAAAGTGGTGGGCCCTAAGCACAGTTCCCACGGGGGAACCTGCTCGATACCATGTGGAAAATAGAACGAGAATGAATGCACTATGAAAGAGTTGGGTACAAATAGCAAAACCCTAATTGGGTTGTACCCCCTATGGGATACCCCACTGTAGCCTACACAACAGCATAAGCTACATATATGTTCTGACAACGAGTGCCTCTGAGTGTTGTGCCGATGACGCTGCATGCGTCAGGTCTTGTAGGTTACGGGAGGCTTCGATAAGAGGCTCGACGTATGGTGTAACATACATTTCCTTTGCTGAGTCGCTTCGCCATCTGCCCAGCCGTTTGAAGACCCTGTCTGGCACGCCCGTGTTGGCTGCTACTGTGGTTGCACCTTTTCGGAAAGAATGTGTGCCGAGCTGCAGGTCTCCAAGGCCCACCTTTGCGAAGGCTTCCTTGCACCAGTTCCGGATCGTGGTGTATGAGGGTGGCCGTGCTTGGCCCTCGCTGGTTGAAGCGTGGCCGAAGACCCGAATCAATGGTCCCTCTGACTGTGGGCCATAGCCGGCCAGCTGGATGAAGCGTCGGGTGCAGCGCACTGGGCAACAGGGGTCTGTCGTTGCTGCAATGGGAATCCAAGTGCCATGACCAGCCTGATCGGTCTTGGAGTGTGGTATGAGAATCCACATGACCGCGTCGTCGAATTGGATGTCTTGCCATTTTATGGCTGCCAGGTCAGAATATCGCAGGAATCCTGAGTACATGAGGATGGGGATCAACCCTTTCTGAAACGTCGCGGGATCGTCGGACTGCAAGTAACTCGCGGCCATGTCCCGGACTTGTTGGATCGATACGGGTTCCTTCATACGAGTAGGGCGAGGGCAGTGTCGTTTTGCACAGTCACGGACTTGGGTGGTGAACGGTCCGGTTGTCGGGCATTTGCTCCCAGTCATGCGATGAGCGAAGCTGACCGCCGAGCACGTCAGCTGCACTACGGACAGGGTGGCTTTGCGTCGGATTGCGTGTACCAGGTAGAGCGCGAGGGTCATGTCGGATGCCGGAAGAAATGGGAGGTTCACTTTTGTGCAGAAGGCTCGAAACTTGGCACAGTATGGTTCGTATGTCCGGATCGTAGAATCGGCGCGAGATTGCGCGAGCATGTTTATCATTTGGTCCTGTAACTTTGGGAGCAAATCTGAACACAGGCCGTTGATGGAGGGTGAGCCGTTTGAAAATCGAGAAGCGTAGGTGGAGAGAAATGAACTCCAACCCACGGTTTTTATAGTTGGAGAAGGGCGTTTAGCGCGCTTCGACGATGCCAATTGTGCAGTACAAGCAGCTTCGCTTTCACAATACACAATTTTAAAAAACACAATGTGTTTAAAAATTATAATTTTTGTTGCCAAGTGAAGGCTGGCTGAAAGGGTGTTATGCTGAAATACCTTCCATAGTATTGATGTCAGTCCTGGTGGTTAGTCGAATGCGTTGCTTTTGAATTTAGTCAAAGTCTTTTAACGGATCAGGTGTGGCTCCATTTTCCCGCCAAACTTGCAGCTGATTGTGTGGCTGGGCTTCACCACGGACACCTCCGAGGCCCAATCAATGCAAGGGCAAGAACGACCTGCGATGCGACACTTTCGAGGGGCCAATCCACCGTCGGCACTCCCAATTGACCAACGACCAATGCACGAACGACACTCTTGACGGCCGTAATCGACTGCCGACACTCCCACTGGCCCAACGCTACCCACTCTGCCGCGTTTCCAGCTTCTGGTTCATTCCAAACTTCAAACATCCCCGACTAGTGAACGCTCGGTTCAGCTAGGTTGGGTGCAATATCCCTAGTTTTGTTACACACATGGCCTCAGGCCTCCTTTTCTGGCCTTTTCCTCAGTTGTTGGGTTCACTTCACTCTGTTCCACCACTAGCATTTCTGTATGGCTGGGCTTCGGTTGAGGTGAGGTTCGGAGGTTCGGGGGCATTGCTTGTTTGTGGTGTCGTGTGGTTCTGATTCTTGGAGCCTGCATTTCAGTCAGCACTTCAAGTTCTACAGCATCCCTTGAGGTGAATGGCCGTTCGTCTCTTTTCGGAGGGTTAGGAGGTGTCCAGCTCGTTCATTTACTGTTCGTAAAGCCCTTGAGTTACCACATTTTGCGTTGTAACACTGATTTTTACAGAAATGCCAGACACGATCGGCTCCCGTTCAAGATACGGCACACCCCCTGCACGTACCTCGAATCGTGTGACGCACATTACAGGAATCAGCGTGCGCATCGAAAAATGGTACAGAACCGCGTCCTGCCCACTACAGTGAGTGCCCATTGTATCGCGCGCTCGATTTCGCCTGTGCCGCCTGACACTCGCCAAAACTAGTAGAGGAAGTGTTGGCTTGGCGAAAATTCCAACGCTTGGGTTGACGAGAAAACCGGCTACCTTGGTTTCCACACGGCCCCTGCACTGTTGAAGTCTGTGTGGGGGGAACGTGTCCGCGCGCTAGAATTGACAAAAAGGGTGGACTCGACTCAGGGCGATTTCGTTTTTAGGTACAGTGATTAGTTTTGAACCCCGGATCGTGAGGTGGTACTAAATTTCCTGAAATGAACTAGCTAGACACGCCCTTAGTGGTGGTGGCTGATTATTTCACGTTCTTCAGTTGCACTGGCACGGTTTGATGATTGAGTTCTGCACTTATGGCTTATAGAGACGAGCAGCGTCGATCCTAAAAACTGACCTACAACCGCGAGCGTAATGTTCAGTAGGCGTTGACACATTTTACCGACGCGATTTTAAGACACTTTTAGTGATACATTCTTATGACATTTTCCAATGACACGTTCCCGATTGACCAAGGAAATATAGACTGAAGCCGTGAAGGCTCAATGCAAGGTGACGGACGGCTAGGCGTCAAAACTCTTAACGGTTCTAACCCGCTAGTTGTCGAGTTCTATCCCATCTGACAGACTAGCCTGACGTTACTACTGTGGTAAGTCGTATCATTGTTATTACTGAGGCGCCTTGAAAAAATATAGTAGTCCAGTTACGTCGCACCGCTCCTTGCGCGGCTCTCTGTTTGCTCAAGTAATTTATTTTCTAGGCACCTAGAAAACTGCCTCTATTACCACGGATTACTCTTGTACTGAGCCGCTCCAGAAGCCGACGATTCTCGCCGCATGAATCAGCATCACGTGCAACGGCGGCCGGCAAGCCAGCACGACACCCGCAACACATGGAACGAGTACGCGCCGCAGAAGCAACAGTCGCAGTTCCAGCAAACTCCGGGTCCTTACCAGCAACCACCTTTGTCGCCGCAATTTCCGCAATATCCGCCACAAATGTCTTCGCAGTTCCCGCCGCCGCAGCAGCAGCACGAGCAAGCGGAGGAGTTTCCGTGGGACCATGGCGACAACGTTCCCGTCGCCCCCGTTATCGCGTTCCCTGGTAACCACCAGAGCGTCGCTGGTAACCACGCGGGTAACCACATGGGCGTCGCGAGTAACCACGGTGGTAACCACCGCCGATCGCGATCCATGGGAATGGCGGCTATGGGAATGGGGGGCGTTGCGCCTGATTTTCTTGCGCAGATGGGAGCGCCGGGACAGTTTCCGCCAGGCCCAGCGGGAGCGGGGAGAGGCGCGCATCCGCCTGCGCCAGGGGGTAGAGGGGAGGCGGGAGCGCAGGGGAGAGTCGGAGGCGATCTGGACGGGCGCGGAAGAGGGGGAGGCGCGGGCGGAGGGGTTAGCGGCCCAGGGGAAGGTCCGAGGGGGAAAGGCGGAGCGGCGGGGGAACCTAGAGGCCCCGGCGGAGGAGGTCAGGAAGCGCAAGGCAAGGGGGCAAATTTAGACAGTATTGACCCTCGCTTCAAGCCTAAGTTTATAAAATCCGGTGGGCGGGTGTGGGAGATGTTTTCAGGACCGTCCGTTAATATACTAAGAAGAGAGGACGACGCGGATTTGCCGCCCGAGGACTTAGCGGCTATGGTTGCCGCGCCTGTCGCGAAGCCCTCGCGCCATCGGCGCACCAAGTCCGCCTTCCCCGCGGACTCCGCGCAATTCCTGCAGGAAATGGATTTCCGCGGAGGGGAAGGGGGGAACAAATCGGGGGAGGGGGCGGACGGGGAAGGGGGAGGCGGAACCGGGTTCGGCGGGGATGGCGGAACTGGAGCGTGGGGAGCCGGCGGGGGAGGTGGGGGCGGGAAAGCGGGCGGAATAGGGGCTGGGGGAGCTGTTGGGGGGAGGGGGAGCGGGCCTGCGGGCGGGCAGAGAATGTTATCGTCAGCAGGGGGGGTAAGGCGCGCCTCTCTTGACGGCGGCGGAAGGGGCGCCCCCCTTGAGGGTGGGGAAAGGCGCGCGTCCCTTGACGGGGGGAGGATCCCCGCGCCTGTCCCCTCCTCCTTCTCAGACCCTTCCAAACCGATCCCCGCCCATCCTCTGAGGCATCGGTCTATGGACTTTTCAAATAGTAACACTTACAGTAACACTGGCTATAGTAACAACAGTTACAGTAACAGTAGCTATGGCAGTGGCTCGGGAGGAGATGGGGGGAATGCGCGCATGGGGATGGGGGGAGGGATTGTGGGCGGGGGGGTAGGCGGGGGAGGGTTGGGGCGGGGGGGAGCAGCGCGGGGGCAGGGCAGCGGGAGAGAAAGGGGCGCACAGTCTCCCCTAGGGCAAATCCGCGAGCATGGGGACGATAACGAGGAGGATAGTAACGAGAATCTCTTGCAGCAACACCAGGATGGCAATTCCGGGAATTACGGAAGTGGGAATCAAGCTTCAGGCCAAGCATCCGCCCTCCTTTCCCCTCTGCACGGCGGAAGCCTTGGAGGCGGATTCTCTGCGGGAGGCGAAAGGGGCGGCGGAGGCGGAGGGGGGCGAGGCGCAAGGGGAGGGGGCGGGGGGCAGGGTCACAGGCGCAGTCATAGCTTGCAGGGGCCTGGGGGAGGGGGCTGGGGGTTCTCTGGAGGGGGGGGGCGGGGAAGGGTGGGCGGGGGGAAACTATCGGGCGGAGCAGGCGCAGGCCCAGGCGCAGGCGCAGGGGCAGGGGGGGCGGATGCGGAGACCTAGCACGGGGCAGATGGGGAGAGGCGGGCACGTGGGGGAAACAGGCTTGATTGGGGGAGGGGGAAGAGGCGGAGGCAGGGGCTGGGTTGGGGGAAGAGGCGGAGGAGGGGGGGAATTGGGGGGAGCCAGAGGAAGTGGTATGATGGGAAATGGAGTGCTGGAGGAGGGAGTGAGAGGAGAGGAGGGAGAAGAGGAGGAGATAGGGGAAGAGGAGGGAGGAGAGGAGGAGGGAACAGAAGTGGAGGATGGGAGAGTGCTTCCGGGGGAAGAGGGGGATGATGATGACGTTCCCGTTGCTCCTGTCTCCCCTGTTCCTGTGCAATGGGGTGCAGCTAATGCAGGGTTCAAGGACCCAAACTCAGGAGAAGGGACTGGGGAAGGGGCGGTTGAAGCAGGCGTGAGGATAGACGATATGGGTCAACAGCAGCAGGGGCATCGGCAGCAGGGCCAACAGCAGCAGGGACAGCAGCAATTGAGTGAGCATCAGCTGATGCTGAAGCGGAGACACCAGGAAAATGAGCAGGCAATGCAGAAGGAGCGGGAGAAGCAGGAGGGTATGCAGGGGCAGCAGCAGCAGCAACCTTACCACCAGCAGCAATGGCAGCCGCTGCCACCGCAGCAGCAGCAGCAGCAGCAGCAGGGGCAGCAGGGGCGCGTGGGTCACAGGAGAAGTCACTCTATGGGAATGGCGGGAGTGGGCGGCTTTCCCTCTGACCTGGGGCAGCCGTTGTTCTCCCCACAGCAACCCATGGGGTTTGTACAGCAGCAGCAACCGCAACAGCAGCAGCAGCAACGGTACAACCAGCAGCAGCAACAGCAGCAGCATCAGGGGCAGGGGCAGAGGCAGGGGCAGGGGTGGCAGCAGGGGCAGGGGCAGGGATGGCAGGAGGGATCATGGCAGGAGCAGCAATACGAGACAGAGGAGAAAAACGATCAGCTGGAGCTGTTCCGATCCTCCACCGCCCCGGCCAAACCTGCAGGCTCGGCGAGAGCTGCTGCCACTGCTGCACGTCCTGGTGGCAGTGGAAAGGAACTCGGTGGGCAAACCATTATAAGCACCAAGAGTTATACGAGCCCCAGTCCCTCCAAACTTCACCCTCATTATAGTCCCGCGGGAGGGGGGAGAGGAGGAGGGGAAGGAGGAGGGGGATGGGGAGGGGGAGGGGGAGGGGGAGGGAGAGGAGGGGGGGGGATAGCAGGGGGAGTTGGAGCAGGAGGGGGAGGGGGAATAGGGGCGGCATCACAAGGCATGTCACGGCATAAGAGGACAATGTCTGCTAGTGCTGCTGGAGTCGCATTTGCGGGATATTCTGCTGTTGCAGGTTTTGATCCCGGTTTTGGTGCTGGTGCGGGTGGTGCTGGTGCTGGCAATTCTACTGCTGGTGGTGGTTTTGGTGCTGTTGGTGGTGGCCCTGGTGTTGCTGGTGGTGGTTACAACACTGGGAGTAACACTGCTGGTTACCACACTGGTGGTAACACTGGTGCTCGTTTGCCGCCTCCTCACTCCCCACTTCGTCAAGGGGGTGGGGGCCAACCGCCCCAACAGCAGTCCTCTACACCTCCCCCTCACCGCCACTCTCGCTCCCACTCTCACTCTCCTTCCCCTCCCAAACCCCACCCTCACCCCCACACTCACTCTGTTTCTTCTCCCAAGTCCCACTCGCACTCCAACCCTCACTCCGTTTCTTCTCCCAAGCCCCATCCTCACTCGCTTTCTCACTCGCACTCCCCGCCAAAGCCTCACCCTCACTCCCCCCGCTCGGCTCACTCTTCATCCTCCCCCAATCCCCCCGTTTCCCCGAGCCATGCTGGGGGGAGCTGGGGGGAAAGGGCGACGGGGGGAGTTGGGGGAATGGGGGGAGCAGGACGGGGGGGATCGCCCCTCCGTCCTTCTGCAGGGAAAGGGGGGGGAATGGGGGGAGCAAGGGGGGGGAGGGGTGGAACAGGGGGAGGAGTAGGAAGAGCAGAAGGAGCTGGGGCAACAACACTTGCTGCTGGTGGTGCTGGTGCTTCTGGTGGTGGTATGAGCGTGCTGGGGCGGCCCTTTGAGGATATAACGGAGCAGTTTTTACTGAGTATGGAGGAGATAGGGAGGGGACGATCGGGCAGCATCAGGCAGTGTGTGCATCGGAGGAGCAACGAAGTGTTCGCGTGCAAAACAATTCCCAAGGGGAAAATTCAGGTAGTGAGGAGGGAGGGTTGGGTAGTGAGGGGGCGATTAGGCAGCATCAGGCAGTGTGTGCATCAGAGGAGCAACGAAGTTTTCGCGTGCAAAACGATTCCCAAGGGGAAAATACAGGCATGTAGTGGTGTGATGAGGCTGGGGGGTTGGGTGAAGGGAGATGGGGCAATTTTGTAGGTTCAAACCAAACCACCAGGGGATGTGTGCATTGGAGGAGCAACAAACGGCTTACGTGCAAAACGATTCCCAAGGGGAAAATACGGGTTGTCGCGGTGTAATAACCGTGGTCTCCGGGGACGGGGGAAGGAGGTGGGGAGATAACCGTGGAAGAAGAAATCCCATTCCGCGTGTGTCGAGACGAGTTTTCACATGATAAAAGCTTTGTTTTGAGACGTCTCAAAACAGATCTTTTATCACGGGGGAAGGAGGTGGGGAGATAACCGTGGAAGAAGAAATCTTATTCCGCGTGTGACGAGACGAGTTTTCGACTCGACTCAAAATGTGCGTCTTCTCTCGTTCGTGTTTCGACACATGCCACATTGCTGAGGCTGTGCCAAGAATCGTGCCACATTGCTGAGGCTGTGCCAAGAATCGTGCTACATTCTCGTGATTCTGTGCACGGCAGAGCGAGGAGGCGGCGGAAGACGTGCGGAGGGAGCTGTAGCACTTGAGATTTCAAGGCACCTAGGATATGCACAATACTGAGTGCATCTGTCCACTCTTTGTGTGATTCTGTGCATGGCAGAGCGAGGAGGCGGCGGAAGACGTGCGGAGGGAGCTGTAGCACTTGAGATTTCAAGGCACCTAGGATATGCACAATACTGAGTGCATCTGTCCACTCTTTGTGTGATTCTGTGCATGGCAGAGCGAGGAGGCGGCGGAAGACGTGCGGAGGGAGCTGTAGCACTTGAGATTTCAAGGCACCTAGGATATGCACAATACTGAGTGCATCTGTCCACTCTTTGTGTGATTCTGTGCATGGCAGAGCGAGGAGGCGGCGGAAGACGTGCGGAGGGAGCTGTAGCACTTGAGATTTCAAGGCACCTAGGATATGCACAATACTGAGTGCATCTGTCCACTCTTTGTGTGATTCTGTGCATGGCAGAGCGAGGAGGCGGCGGAAGACGTGCGGAGGGAGCTGTAGCACTTGAGATTTCAAGGCACCTAGGATATGCACAATACTGAGTGCATCTGTCCACTCTTTGTGTGATTCTGTGCATGGCAGAGCGAGGAGGCGGCGGAAGACGTGCGGAGGGAGCTGTAGCACTTGAGATTTCAAGGCACCTAGGATATGCACAATACTGAGTGCATCTGTCCACTCTTTGTGTGATTCTGTGCATGGCAGAGCGAGGAGGCGGCGGAAGACGTGCGGAGGGAGCTGTAGCACTTGAGATTTCAAGGCACCTAGGATATGCACAATACTGAGTGCATCTGTCCACTCTTTGTGTGATTCTGTGCATGGCAGAGCGAGGAGGCGGCGGAAGACGTGCGGAGGGAGCTGTAGCACTTGAGATTTCAAGGCACCTAGGATATGCACAATACTGAGTGCATCTGTCCACTCTTTGTGTGATTCTGTGCATGGCAGAGCGAGGAGGCGGCGGAAGACGTGCGGAGGGAGCTGTAGCACTTGAGGTTTCAAGGCACCTAGGATATGCACAATACTGAGTGCATCTGTCCACTCTTTGTGTGATTCTGTGCATGGCAGAGCGAGGAGGCGGCGGAAGACGTGCGGAGGGAGCTGTAGCACTTGAGATTTCAAGGCACCTAGGATATGCACAATACTGAGTGCATCTGTCCACTCTTTGTGTGATTCTGTGCATGGCAGAGCGAGGAGGCGGCGGAAGACGTGCGGAGGGAGCTGTAGCACTTGAGATTTCAAGGCACCTAGGATATGCACAATACTGAGTGCATCTGTCCACTCTTTGTGTGATTCTGTGCATGGCAGAGCGAGGAGGCGGCGGAAGACGTGCGGAGGGAGCTGTAGCACTTGAGATTTCAAGGCACCTAGGATATGCACAATACTGAGTGCATCTGTCCACTCTTTGTGTGATTCTGTGCATGGCAGAGCGAGGAGGCGGCGGAAGACGTGCGGAGGGAGGTGTAGCACTTGAGATTTCAAGGCACCTAGGATATGCACAATACTGAGTGCATCTGTCCACTCTTTGTGTGATTCTGTGCATGGCAGAGCGAGGAGGCGGCGGAAGACGTGCGGAGGGAGCTGTAGCACTTGAGATTTCAAGGCACCTAGGATATGCACAATACTGAGTGCATCTGTCCACTCTTTGTGTGATTCTGTGCATGGCAGAGCGAGGAGGCGGCGGAAGACGTGCGGAGGGAGCTGTAGCACTTGAGATTTCAAGGCACCTAGGATATGCACAATACTGAGTGCATCTGTCCACTCTTTGTGTGATTCTGTGCATGGCAGAGCGAGGAGGCGGCGGAAGACGTGCGGAGGGAGGTGTAGCACTTGAGATTTCAAGGCACCTAGGATATGCACAATACTGAGTGCATCTGTCCACTCTTTGTGTGATTCTGTGCATGGCAGAGCGAGGAGGCGGCGGAAGACGTGCGGAGGGAGCTGTAGCACTTGAGATTTCAAGGCACCTAGGATATGCACAATACTGAGTGCATCTGTCCACTCTTTGTGTGATTCTGTGCATGGCAGAGCGAGGAGGCGGCGGAAGACGTGCGGAGGGAGCTGTAGCACTTGAGATTTCAAGGCACCTAGGATATGCACAATACTGAGTGCATCTGTCCACTCTTTGTGTGATTCTGTGCATGGCAGAGCGAGGAGGCGGCGGAAGACGTGCGGAGGGAGCTGTAGCACTTGAGATTTCAAGGCACCTAGGATATGCACAATACTGAGTGCATCTGTCCACTCTTTGTGTGATTCTGTGCATGGCAGAGCGAGGAGGCGGCGGAAGACGTGCGGAGGGAGCTGTAGCACTTGAGATTTCAAGGCACCTAGGATATGCACAATACTGAGTGCATCTGTCCACTCTTTGTGTGATTCTGTGCATGGCAGAGCGAGGAGGCGGCGGAAGACGTGCGGAGGGAGCTGTAGCACTTGAGATTTCAAGGCACCTAGGATATGCACAATACTGAGTGCATCTGTCCACTCTTTGTGTGATTCTGTGCACGGCAGAGCGAGGAGGAGGCGGAAGACGTGCGGAGGGAGGTGGAGGTGTTGGAAGCGGTGAGAGGGCATCCCTGCTCGGTACAGCTGCAGGGGGTGTTTGAAGATGAGGAGGTGAGATAGGAGGGGGGATGGGGGGAATGGGGGAGGGTAAGCAAGTGAGGGTGCGCGGAGGGAGGTGGAGGTGGTGGAAGCGATGATGAGAGGGCATCCCTGCTCGGTGCAGCTGCAGCGGGTGTTTGAAGATGAGGAGGTGAGATAGGAGGGGGGATGGGGGGAATGGGGGAGGGTAAGTAAGTGAGGGTGTGCGGAGGGAGGTGGAGGTGGTGGAAGCGATGATGAGAGGGCATTCCTGCTCGGTGCAGCTGCAGGGGTGTGAAGAGGAGGAGGTGAGATGGGTGGGGGGATGGGGGAGCAGGTGAGGAGGTGAGAAGTGGAAGGAAGCACAGGAAGTGAGGAAGGAGGTGGAGAGGTGTTGGAGGCGGTGAGAGGGCACCCCTGCTCGGTGCTGCTGCAGGCAGTGTTTGAAAATGAGGAGGTGAGAGAGGAAAAGTGGGAGGGTTAGGCGAGAATGTGAGGAGTCGGGGAATATGAGGAGGGAGGTGCAGTGCAGGCAGTGAGAGGGTATCCCTGCTCACTTCACTGCCTGCACCTCGAGTGCAGCTCACTCCCCGCTCCGAGCAGGGAGTGAAAGGCAGTGCGGCGAGGGTATCCCTGCTCGGTGCTGCTGCAGGCATTGTTTGAAGCCGAAGAGGTGAGATGCGGAGGTGAGATGTGGAGGTGGGACGAGGGAGGGTAAGGTGAACATGTGCGGGAGTGGGAAACATGAAGAGGGATGTAGAGGTGTTGGAGGCGATGAGAGGGCATCTGTGCTTGGTGCCTGCGTTGGCAAATACGCGTATCACGTATAATACGCTAGCGTATTATACGCTGGGTATATACGCGGTATGCAATGGCTGGCGTACTGCTGATACGCTAAAATACGCTGGGCGGGCAGGTGAAACATTTTTCCCGGGCAGTAGAGCCGTGAACAGAGGCTGCATTGCTCGTCGAACTAGTAGTAGCTGCGCTCGACGCCATGGCGCGCGACTACGGAACGTCCAACTAACGGGGAAGAATGCTAGACGAGACCTGCGGGAAGTAAATTGAAGAGCTTTGTGGAAGTCGTCCACCTAAAAATGCTAACGAAGTTATGAACATTTGAAAGGGGTTGTTGGGTTTGAGAGGTTGGGTGGGGTGGTGTGTGGTTGAGTGGGTGGGAAAGTTTGGATTTTGACATTCGAGGTTCAGACATGGGTAGGGTGCTTGAGCGAGTTCGCGGTAACAATTTGCGAAGCCGCAAAGTCGTCGCGATTTTTTCCAATTTCGGATTTTTTTTTTCCGCGGGCTGCCCGGGCGTATTTCGCAAATTCAGAGCGTATTAGCGTACCACGTATATACGCTAGCGTATATACGTGATACGCCAGCCTTCCCAAAGCGTATCTGCCAACGTAGCTTGGTGCAGCTTCAGGGGGTGTTTGAAGATGCGGAGGTGAGATGCGGAGGTGAGATGCGGAGGTGAGATGCGGAGGTGAGATGCGGAGGTGAGATGCGGAGGTGAGATGCGGAGGTGAGATGGCGTGCCATCTTGGGGATGGACTTGGCGTTGACTTTTGCGTCGACTCAAAAGTCACCTAGATGCGGAGATGGCGTGCCATCTCGGGGGGGGACTTGTGGAAACGCGTGCAGCAAGGGGGGGCGTATGGAAAGAGGGAGGCAGCAGCAGTGGTGGGGCGGCTGGTGGGGCTGCTGAAGGACTTGCACGCCCAGGGCATCATGCTCACACTCTCTTATACCCTTTTCTCTTTCCTCTCCTCTCATCTCCTCTGTGCCCCTCCTCCTTGTCTTCTCTCCCCTCTCGCCCTCCCATGCCTGCCATACTCCCTGCAGCACGTGCATCTAGTGATGGATCTGTGTCAAGGAGGGGACGTGTGGCAGCGAGTGCAGCAGGGGGGGGCGTATGGGGAGAGGGAGGCAGCAGCAGTGGTGGGGCGGCTGGTGGGGTTGCTGAGAGACCTGCACGCCCTGGGCATCATGCACCGGGATGTGAAGCCGGAGAATGTGCTTCTAAGGAGGGAGGATGATGACGTGGATGTTGCAGTCATTGACTATGGTGTTTCGGTGTTCTTCAATCCAGGTGGGTGCAATGGGTTGTTGAGGTGTTGAGAGTGGTGCTGTGCATGGTTTGGGGATCGTGTGCCCAGAACATCTTGCATTGGGATGCTGTATGGCTCGTTGAGTGTTTATTCAGGCTGTGCGGCAACATGCACCACATGCAAACCCTAATTCCCCCCTCCGCTCCCCCCCCGCCCCTCTCACCTACTCAAACCCAAATGAATTTTTTTCTGGGACCATTTTCTCCTCTTGTCATTCTACATCACTTTCCCCCTAACACTGGAAGCTTAAAACCCTCCCCTCCCCTCTCTCACCCCCTTAAAATCCAGGCGAGCGTTTTTTCTGAGATTGTAGGCTCACGACGACTCTACATCACTTCTCCCCGCAAACCCCAAAACCCAATACTTTCATCCCCCTCTCCCCTCCCAAAACCAGGTGAACGCTTTTCTGAGATCGTAGGCTCGCCATTCTACATTGCCCCTGAGGTTCTCCACGAATCCTACGGTCCAGAATCCGACATCTGGGCGGCCGGAGTGATCCTGTTTGTCCTTTTGTCGGGGGTACTTCCCTTTTGGGGTGACTCTGACGAGGGGGTGTTTCGGGCTATTTTGGAAAAGAGCGTGGAGGAGGAGATGGAGAGAGAGGGAGTGTGGGAGAGTGTGTCTGACGAAGCGAAGGACCTGGTGATGCGCATGCTGTCAAAAGACGCCGCCCTCAGAATCACGGCAGATGAGATTCTCGGTAAGGAGACTGCCTTGGAAATTGAATCAGGTGCTGTTTTGTTTTGTTGCCTTTTGTGGTCGTGTTGGTGCTGTTTTCTTGCGGAAAATATTATATTATTCATTCACTCACCTAATTTGTCTTCCTATTTCATACCGTTTGCTCCATCCCTCAAACAGGACACCAATGGCTGCAAGAGAATTGATGGAAATTCGCTTTTAGTAACCAACCAATAGGACGTGTAACAAAAGTTACCAGCTTTACACAAATCTAGTGACTCATGCTGCTAAATGAAATGCAGCGGATAAGCCACCCACTAATTTTGCTCATTTTTTGCTTCTGTATAGAAATGGCTTACGATGCGGGAATCCTGCTGCTATCGCGTCACCATCAACCGCGTATTCTATTGCGGATAACTGTTCATATCCTCAGCTGAGCACAGAACCAGAACAGTTCCCTGAATTCCGCTTCACCGCACTCTCGGCTGAACTGAAGCACAGAAATCGCCGCGCTTCGAGAACTCCAACTAATCCCGTGAAGGCGAAATAACCTGTATTACTCCGTGTTAGCGCCGCGTCAGCCACTGCCCTTTTTTTGTTTTGGCGGGAAGGAAGACGATCCCCGTCGGTCACGGCGAAAAGGACTCCGGAACGCCGTCCATTTCACGGTATTACTGCCGTCTCTCCCGGTTTTATCGACGTTGCGGTATGATCGCCAAGAAGCATCGCTGACCGTGTGGACCGTAGATCCTGGCAAAGGCCATCGCCGCTAGAGATTTCGTCGAGAGTTACACAGTCTTAAAAGGCGACATAAACGAATATATGGTAGCCCACGGTTTTTGAGTGGACTCAAAACGGTTCCAGCGACATGAACGGATATACGGTAGCTTGCGAATACCTCGAGGTTGCCTTGTCTCTAGAACGCGGAACTCGTCGTCGTTGCCCCTTTCTTCACGCGTCGTCTTGTCTCTAGTACGCTTGCTACATTAGGCGATTAATCTCCACTCGTCTCCGCCGCGATGATCGGACGGTCCTCCTGGACGGGTACACGTGGACTGGTATGCCTCCTGCTGCTCTCCTGCCACGTGTCAGCCTCTCACGCGTCCACAGCTGGCCTTATCTGTGGCCGGAATGACGATTACCTCGGCCAATCTCTTCCGCACTCCTACTTCGAGACCCACGCTGACGTGGACTCGAGGGACGCCACGTCAGCTCCAGCTCAAGAAACGCCGCTTTTGCGAGTGCGGCATCGCGGAATGCGAACCCTGCGTAAGCGCGCTGCATGTCTCCGTTAGTGCTTTGCGGGATTCTCAAGGCGGAGATTCGCACCGTGAAAAAAAGAGTGTTTTGAGACGTCTCAAAACAGATATCCACTGCTTCCCCCGTTTCCCCAACCCCTCATCCTCCCTCGTCTCCTTCCCCCCTCTCCCCCTGTTCTCTCCCCCTTTTCACGCCCCCTTTCTGTGGCCCCATATGTTTCCCCCCTTTTTGTCCCCCCTTTCTCCCCCCATTCCCCCCTCCCTCCCCCACCCCTTTTTCCCTCTTTTTCCCCCTCCCACTTTCTGACGCAACGCACTACAGCAAGCAGCAGGTGCCACAGCGATCCTCCATGAAGCAAAAGGAAGGAGGAGGAGCCAACGAGCTGGAGAACGGTCCACTCCTTGTCATTGTCACGAGACCCCCTATTCTCCCCGCATCGCTTCTTCCACACTCTCCCAGTTTCTCACGCCACGCACTACAGCAAGTAGCAGGTGCCGCAGCAATCCGCCGTGAGGCAAGTGGAAGGGGGAGGAGCGATGCACTATGACCCTCCTATTCTTCCCAAACTCCCCTGTTTTTCCCCTTTCCCTCCTCCCAGTTTCTGAAGCCACACACTACAGCAAGCAGCAGGTGCCGCAGCGATCCGCCGTGAGGCAAGTGGAAGGGGGAGGAGCGATGCACTATGACCCTCCTATTCTTCCCAAACTCCCCTGTTTTTCCCCTTTCCCTCCTCCCAGTTTCTGAAGCCACACACTACAGCAAGCAGCAGGTGCCACAACGATCCGCTGTGAGGCGAGTGGAAGGGGGAGGAGCATACGAACTTGAAAACGTGTGCATACACGCTCGATTCAAGGGAGGAGTGACCTTGCATGGGGTAGAGGATGTGCCGGTGAGTGGGGACTGATTATAACGCGTACAGAAGATGGTAGGAGCCTACGAGCTGGAGAACGTGTGCATGCATACACGCTTGGTTCAAGGGAGGAGTGACCTTGCACGGAGTAGAGGACATTTCGGTGAGTAGGGACTGCTTATAACGCGTTCAGGTGATGGTAAGTTGGTGGGTGCTTATTATTATTATTAGTTAGTGTGAGAATACCAAATTGGCTCTATGCTTATACAACGAGGCAGCCTCGTTCACCTTTCTTTCAATATATCCTCTCTCTCCTTGTTCCTCCCTTACCCACACCCCCTCTCCACTCCCCGTCTTGTCAACCCAACCCGCCTCTCCCCCACTTTCATACTCCTTTCTTTCCCCCACTGGCAGAGCGATGGTGATGGTTTACCCCTATGCAACGAGGCAGGCTGTTTCACCTTCCCAGTAACCTACACCAATGACAAGCTGCCACGTGGCAAGAGGGGGCACAGCGGATGGATAGATGACGCTACAGCTGTCATCATGCCGCTGACGGCTGGCAATCCTTGGCATTTTCTGCACCACGCCATCCCTCTGTCCCATGTGGGTGATTGCTGGAATCACTGAGGAAGTGAGTGGGGGAGGGAGTGAGTGAGTGAGTGAGTGAGTGAGCAAGTGAGTGAATGAGTGAGTGAGTGAGTGAGTGAGTGAAGGAGTGTGAGGGCTCTCACTTCACCTCTCTTTCCTTGTTTTACCTTGTGCGCTTTGATAGCCCTCGCACTCCTTGTAACCGGATTGCTTCCCCCCTGTCTTTCCTTGTGTGTTTTGAGTCGACTCAAAACCCTTGTAACCGGATTGCTTCCCACCTGTCTCTCCTTCTCTTCTCATTCCTCTCAGCTCCTTTCCTCTCAGCTCCTTTCCTCTCAGCTCCTTTCCTCTCAGCTCCTTTCCTCTCAGCTCCTTTCCTCTCAGCGCCATGCTCTTCGTAACAGCACAGCACACCTCTTTCCCTGCCTGACCAGAGGGACTGAATGCATGCTCTCTCTCACCTACCCCATCCCCATCTCCCTCCTCTCCTCTCCTGTCCCTCTGCCATCTCCCCATGCCATTTTCCACCCCCTCCTCTCAGCTCCTTTCCTCTCAGCGCCACGCCCTGCGCAACAGCACAGCACACCTCTTCCCCTGCCTAGCCAGGGGGGTCGAAGGCATGTTAGCCCACGCCTCCCACATACATGGGGAGGGCAGGCATGAGGGGACCATGCCAGATGTAGACACCCGCACGCACGACACAGACGTGCAAGGCATTCATACCCATGACGCCCGCACACATGGAGCTGCGCACATCACTGCTACTGGCATCTCTGTGCCGCCCCCTGACTACTACTCCACTCGCCACTTCCCCTGGTGGCCGCTGCTCGCTGCTACTGCTCCTCCGGGTGTCACCCTCTATCAGGTGTGTTGCTCAGGTGTTTTGTTTGGTTGTTTTTTCCCTTCACCATCTTCTTCCGTTTCCATCCCCTCTATCGTTCCTCTTTTCCTTCTGCCCCCCTTCCTCCCCTTCCTTTCCTCGCCGCTTGCCCATTTCTCCTCTTTCCTACTCTTTTCTTTCACTCCCTTTTTGTCCCTCTTTTCTGCAATCTTCCCCATTCCTCCTTTGCCTCCTCTTCCCTTCCATTCCCATTTCTCCCTCCCCTCTTCCCCATTCCTCGTTTCCCTCCCCTCTCCCCCCACGTCCTCCCCTCCTCCCCACGCTAGGGGACAAAAGGTGAATCAAATCGAGAATGTGCCTCGTGATCTAATGAGAACCAAATCTCGTCGCCGCCTTTCTTCTCAGAAGCAGCACCACCGCCGCCGCCTCTCGTCTTTGGTAACCGTCTCAGAGGTGGCGGCGCTAGCAGCAAATCGCTCCTCCCCCTTCATCTGCTACCGTCACGCCTTCCTGGGTCTGCCTCCGGCCTTCTCCCCCGGCCCGCTGCTGCAGAGACGGCCGCCTCTGCTGCCAGTCGAGTCATACCAAGAGTTCAGACGCCGCGCCTTGGCCCTTGCTGGAGTGACAGAGGACAGGTGAGACGCGTGTTTCCTCTCAATCGTGACTCTATCAACCCCCCACCAACCTGCACACCCCCCCTTCGTCTGCTACCGTCACGCCTTCCTGGGTCTACCCCCCGGCCTTCTCCCCCGGCCCGCTGCTGCAGAGGCGCCCCTCTCTCCTGCCGGGTGACTTTTGAGTCGACTCAAAAGTCACCTCAAAAACGCCCCTTTCTCCTGCCGGGCCCTGCATTCCAAGAGTTCAGACGGCGAGCCAGCCCTGGCCCTTTCTGGGATCACAGAGGACAGGTGAGACAGACATGATTCACCCCCATCCACCATCCACTCCCCCCTCCACCACCATCCACTCCGCCACCCCCTTCCCTCCTCCCCCTTCACCTGCTACCGTCATGCCTTCCTGGGTCTGCCTCCGGCCTTCTCCCCCGACCCGCTGCTGCAGAGGCGCCCCCCTCTCCTGCCGGTCACTGCATCCCTCCACGCCCCTTCCAATCTTCCATCCCCCTTTCCATCCCCCTTCCATCCCCCACCCCCCGTTCACTCCAGCAGTGAGTCCAAACCACACGATCTCCCGCACTCAACGTCGTCCTCCTTGCCGTCCGCCACGTCAGCACCACTCTCCACATCAGCATCACTCCTTCCCACCCGCCCTCCTCCTCGCTCTACGCGGCCTTTGATGGGCATCATAGCTCGCGATAGGATGCGTCGCCTCTGCCACCTACCAGGTGAGCTTTACACGTTAACATATCATACCACTATCATCACCGTCGCCATCAGTATCATCTCCTTCTCGCCCCACGCGCCCTTTGATGGGTATCATCTTTCGGGATAAGACGTGCCACCTCTGCCACCTACCAGGTGAGCCTTGGAAGGGAGCTGTTGCCATAGCTATCATCACCATGTGTTTCGCCTCCCCTCCACACACGCGGCCTTTGATGGGCATTATCGCTCATGATAAGATGCGTCGCCTCTGCCACCTACCAGGTGAGCTTTTAGAGGGGATTTGCGGTCATCATTATCACCTCATCACTCGCATCACCATCACCATCAGTATCGTCACCTCCTCACTCCATGCGCCCTTTGATGGGTTTCATTGCTCGGGATAAGACGCGCTGCCTCTGCCACCTGCCAGGAGAGGCTTAGAAGGGAGCTGTTGCTGTAGTCGTCATGTCATCACCATGTGTTTCGCCTCCCCTCCACACGCGCCCTCTGATGGGCTTCATTGCTCGGGATAAGACGCGCTGCCTCTGCCACCTGCCAGGAGAGGCTTAGAAGGGAGCTGTTGCTGTAGTCGTCATGTCATCACCATGTGTTTCGCCTCCCCTCCACACGCGCCCTCTGATGGGCTTCATTGCTTGGGATAAGACGCGCTGCCTCTGCCACCTGCCAGGAGAGGCTTAGAAGGGAGCTGTTGCTGTAGTCGTCATGTCATCACCATGTGTTTCGCCTCCCCTCCACACGCGCCCTCTGATGGGCTTCATTGCTCGGGATAAGACGCGCTGCCTCTGCCACCTGCCAGGAGAGGCTTAGAAGGGAGCTGTTGCTGTAGTCGTCATGTCATCACCATGTGTTTCGCCTCCCCTCCACACGCGCCCTCTGATGGGCTTCATTGCTCGGCTTAGAGGTAATCATCATCACTAGAGACGACTTTTGAGGCGCCTAAAAAACCTGCCAGGAGAGGCTTAGAGGCGATCATCATCACTGAAAGCACTGTTATCATAGTCAGTATCGTCTCCTCCTCCTCTCCCCATGCGCCCACTGATAAGCATCATTGCTCGGGATAAGACCTGCCGCCTCTGCTACAGGAAACTGTCGTTATTACTATCATCACTCTCATCACCATCAGTATCCTCTCCTCCTTGCTCCTCACGCCCCCTCATGGGCTTTATCCCTCGTGTCACCACTGATCATCCTGTTCATTAACTTTCCCCCATCTGCTCACCCACCTCCCCTTTTCCCCGCTATAAGCAGATCTGGTAAGAGCAGCAGAGTCGGCAGGGTTTGAGGTGCGAGTGCTGCAGTTTGAAAAGTTCGACGTGTGGCAGCAGATTCGAGAGGCACACCAGCTAGACGTGCTGGCGGGCAGTCACGGTGAGTGTGCTTCAAGAGTTCACTCTTGGGGCAAACCCTGCATGCCATGGTGTTGGCATATCCGGGCACATCCGCTTGCCTGTGTGGCAGATATATTGGTGCGACTTTTGAGAATTCTCAAAAGTCGCACCGATTCAAGAGGCACACCTGCCAGACATGCTGGCGGGCAGGCAGTCATGGTGAGTTTGTTCAGCAGTGAAGTCTGTTTGGTAGTGAGTCTATCAGAAGAGTTGTTCGCTGCTGTTGCACGTTCTCTTGACTCGGCCAGCAAGCTTCTTTGAGAACAACACAGATGAGCGTGTGGCAGGAGATTCGAGAGGCACACCGGCTGGATGTGCTGGCAGGCAGCCATGGTGGGATTCTTTGGAGGTGAATGTTGTTTGGTAGTGAGTTTAACAGAAGAGTGGCTCGCTGCTGCTGCTTGCTCCCTTGACTCGGCAGTGAAGTCTGTTTGGTAGTGAGTCTATCAGAAGAGTTGTTCGCTGCTGCTGCTTGCTCCCTTGACTCGGCCAGCAATCCAACTCGAGCACTGCACGAACCCGTCCTTCGACTAAAGCCTCTGGACCCGCCTCTTTCAGGCCGATCATTCTGTTGCCATACAATGCCATGCCTCACACGCCCTCCCCCCATTCCCTCCCTCCCTCCTTCCTTTCCCCTTTCCGCCCTTCCCCCTTTCCCCTCTCTCAGGAGCGGGCATGAGTAACCTCATCTGGTTACCACCTCATGCTCCTGGAAATCTATCTTTCCCGCCCCTCTCCCTTCCTCCTGCCTGCCCGCAACCTCAACGCCGCTTCCGACTAAGGCCACTGGACCCGCCACTTCCATGCCTCACACTCCCTCCTTCCCTCCCTTCCTCTGTCCCTTCCTCCCACCCTTCCTCCCTCCCTCCTTTCTCCCCTTCCCCCTCAGGTGCGGGCATGAGTAACCTCATATGGTTACCACCCCACGCACAGGTCCTAGAGATCTATCCTGCACGCCCCACCCCCTTCCTCCTCCCTGCTCGCAACCTCAACCCCGCCTCATCCTCTCTCCCCATCCTCCCACCCCCCTTCCTTCTCAGGAGCGGGCATGAGTAACCTCATCTGGTTACCACCCCACGCCCAGGTTCTAGAAATCTATCCCGCGCGCCCCACTCCCTTCCTCCTCCCTGCCCAGAACCTCAACCCTGCTTCCGACTATGGCCGCTGGGCTAGTATTTTTCAGGTTGATCATGTTGTTGCGCTACAGTGCCCGTTGCAGGATGAACAGTGCCAGGTGGCGGAGCAGGTGGAGGATCAGGTGGGGACGAACGTGGGGGAACAGCGGGGAGGTCACGTGGGGGTTCAGGTGGGTGAGCAGGTGGAGGATCAGGTGAATTCAGCAGAAGTTGAAGAGAGGTTTGCTGCTGCTTTGAATCCAGGGGGTTTTTCGGGAGACGAGGAGTCATTAGATCTTGCCAGGCGATTTTCCCGAAGCAGTACCAGCAGCAGCAGCAGCAGCCGTAACATCCCTAGTAGCAGCAAAAGACATAGTAGCAGGACTGGTGGTGGGGCCACAGGATTGTACATTGATGTCGGGCTGTCTACCGGTCCCCTCGCAAGTGACGGTGACGACAATGCTGCTGCTGATGATAATTCAGTTGCGATACAAGGGGTTGATAGTAGCACTCACTCTAGCACATACACTAGTGGTTTGTCTCTTGCTCCTACTAACCTCCCTCCTCCCACTCCCAATTTTCGACGTTTAGATCTTTTGGTTGGTGCGAGATCGTTTAGAGTGCTGGCTCTTCAAGCCATCAAGAGATGGCAAAGAACACACAATGAGACGCTTACGGTACATAGATAGTTTAGTTGCTGCCATGTTATTATATACTATTATTCTCGTCCTACCGTTATTGCAGTGTAATGCCTAATAATCAGAGTTGTGAGTTTTGCAGTATAGCAAAAAGTGAAAGGAATGAATGCGTATCTTGAAAGTGACAGGCTGAAGTATTTCTTTTTCTCGCTTGCATTGTAAGGAGTTCGCCTTAAAGCGGAGCACTTAGTCCCAACCACTTCTGCTATTCGCTCCTAGATAATGCCGACCAGATTATTCACTTAGACTCCATTTTCCTCCCATACATCTCTGATTGACTGACACTTATGGATGCCGTGCCGTCAATGCCGGCTGTTCTTTCCAATCCGACCGTCATGGCGTTTCGGATTGTCGCTTGATCGCTCGTGCTTTTGGGCTGATTTTCTTCCTCCTCCTTGTTTTCCTTTTTTCTACATTGGCTGATTTTGCCATCACAGCCATGGTAGGCCATACGATCCTCTCGCGGTCTCTCGTCCCGTCACGTTCTCTGGCTCCCGTGTGGTCCGTTATAGCGTCGCTCGCCTGCTTCGCTATAGTATCGCTAGCTCAGCAAGAACCGCCGTCTACCGGTGGAGGCGCGATCGACCCTGGAGCCCCGATAAGAGAAAAGCACCGTGGAGTCACGGCAATTTCCGAGGACATCAACGGTCAGAATCTCATCCCGATCCACTTGGACGGCTCAGATCCTTCCGTGATCGAGAGCATCGCATCGGGCGGCTGCAAAGCCGGGAAATGCCCCGAGTTCCACATTTGCGAAGGAACCACTCCTTTCGGCAGCGGCTCGGGGAATTTCGCGCTCTGCGAGAGCAAACCGCTGATGACATCAGCAGTGGAAAAGACGATTCAAGACATGGTCTTTAATCTACTATCTGACGCTCCCCCCGTGTCCAATTGTCTGGATGGTTCCGCCATTGAGAAGCTCCGCGCGGGGGGAGCTTCCGCCTCGCATCCCCCGTGGTTCCGCACATGCCCTCCGCAAAACCCTTCCGCCGCTGGCGCAAGCTCCGCCGCCGCCGCCGCCGCTGGGGCTGCTGGGGGAAGCGGGAAGCTAGAGTCATGCGTGGTGCCACCTTACCCCGGCCACGTCATCATGCTCCGTGACGTGTACGTCGATCTACACGGCCACGTGTTCAACGGCACGCACCGCTTCGTCTTCGGCGGGGGTCCACGTGGATCCGACGTGTCCGGAAAACCAGGAGAGGGCGTCACGAGCGAGTTTTCTTATCCAAAGGGGACCACAGCGGTGGTATACGAGCACGTGTTGCATCTCTTTCCCCCCCATATAAGCACATCCGCGCACGCGCGCGCGCACGGGGAAGCAGCAGGCGCGGAGGGCGGGGAGCGGGGGGAGGGGCGCGAGGCAAGGGGGGAGTCTGTGCGCGGGCGAGCGGCGATCTATAGGTGGATGGTGGAATGGCTTTTACCGGGACTCATGGCGGTTCATGATGCCATGCCAAGTTTTGAACACTACCCCATGCTTCTACCATACTCGCAGGTACGTGCATGCCATGGCCCATGTAGACTCGATTATAGCTAGACAAATATAGTGAGACGCGCTGTATCGAGTACAACTCAAGAGAGTGGAGACGTATTGGTGGATGGTGGAGTGGCTGTTGCTGGGACACGTGGCTGTTCAGGACGCCATGCCGAGTTTCGAACACTATCCATGCTGTTACCATACTCGCAGGTACGTGCATGCATGCCTTGCCACGCCATGCCATGCCCTGCCATGCCATGCCCTGCCATGCCATGTCAGCAATAGCAGTTATACTTGCAGGTACATGCATGCAATGCCATGTGGGCCCAACTAAAGGGGGGAGACACTTACTATGAGTCGAGACCCTTCCTCCCACACCCCCACCCCTGTCCCCCGTCTCCCCCAGTCCCATCGCACCATGAGCCATCAGCTCTTTGGCTTCGACCTGGCCTCTGATGTCCCCTTTGTTCACTGCACCTTGCGTCCTCCCCTCCCCCCCACTCCCCCCGTCTCCCCCAGTCCCTTCGCATCATGAGCCATCAGCTCTTTGGCTTCGACCTGGCCTCTGATGTCCCCTTTGTTCACTGCACCTTGCGTTCTCCCCTCCCCCCCACTCCCCCCGTCTCCCCCAGTCCCATCGCACCATGAGCCATCAGCTCTTTGGCTTCGACCTGGCCTCTGATGTCCCCTTTGTTCACTGCACCTTGCGTTCTCCCCTCCCCCCCACTCCCCCCGTCTCCCCCAGTCCCTTCGCATCATGAGCCATCAGCTCTTTGGATTCGACCTGGCCTCGCGAGCACTGCACGCACCCCCAAAGTTCGGCCAAGGGGGAGGGGACGGGGCGAGGGAGGCACACCCCCTCTTCGTGCACTTGCTCTTTGTCGTGAGTGCCCTTATTGCTGCCGTTGAGTTGACTCGGAGAGGGAGGGGACGAAGCGAGGGAGGCACACTTCCTCTTTGTGCACTTCCTCTTTGTGCACTTCCTCTTTGTGCACTTCCTCTTTGTCGTGAGTGCTCTTATTGACTTTAGAGTTGACTTAGAGGTTAGTTTGAGCACGGTGGGGGAGGGGAGGGGGAGACGGGGCAAGGGAGACACACCCCCTCTTTGTGTCCGCTTCAACCAACCTCCCCTTGTTCCCCATCTTCCCCCCCTTTTCCCCCTCTCTCCCCCCAACGCACCCGCCACTTCCTCCCCCCCAACGGCCTTCCGCCCTTCATTCTATCCTTCCTGTCATTGTGTATCTGCTCTTGTCTCACTTTCACACCCTCCTCCCCCCTTCTCCCCTCCCCCCCAATTCATCTCCCCTCCCCCCCCTCACCCACACCCCCCCTCCCCCCCAGGTAGCCCTCATACCTCTCTGCCCCTCCCCTTCCCCCTCCCTCCTCCGCCTCCCCCGCGCCCGCCCCTTCCTCCCCCTCTCGTTTCTTCCCTCCTTCCTCCCGGCCTCCCTCCCCCTCGCTCCCCTCTTTCTTCCCCTCTTTATGTATTTCTTCTCTTTCCTCTGCGTAACACCTTATTCCCCTCTTCCTCTGCGCTCCCCTCTTTCCCCCTCTCCCCCCACACCACCCCACCCCCCGTTCCCCCAGGCAGCCCTCGTTCCTCTCCTGCGCCTCCCCCTCCCCCTCTCTCCTCCGCCTGGCCCGCGCCCGCCACTTCCCCCCCCCAGGCGGCCTCCCCTCCTTCCTTCCGGCCTCCCCTCCTGCCCCCCCCTCCTTCCTACCCTCCTCCTCCGCTCTCTGACAATTGATTCCCATGGGAACACTCGCTTTTGTGCGCCTTTCCTTCCACTCTTGGCTCACCTTCCTTCCTCCCCCTCCCTCTTTCCCCCCAACCCCCCCTTCCCCCCCTCCCCCACACCCCCCCCTCCCCCCAGGCAGCCCTCGTTCCTCTCCTGCGCCTCCCCCTCCCCCTCTCTCCTCCGCCTGGCCCGCGCCCGCCACTTCCTCCCCCCAGACGGCCTCCCCTCCTTCCTCCCCTCCTTCAAACCCCACTCCCCCCCGCCCCTCTTTCTTTCCGCGGATGGGCTCTCATCAGGGGGGGAGTGGCTGGTGGTGGTGGTGCGGACGGGGTTAGGGGGAGCGGGGGAGAGTGGGGGGGGAGGAGGGGGAGTGGGGGGGGTGGTGGAGGAGGAGGAGGAGATTGAGAGGGTGGTGGTGGAGAGGTTTGGGGCGGAGAGAGTGGAGAGTTATCAAGGTCACATGGGCATGGACGACGGTGAGATTCGACTTTATTTTCACCTTATTGTGGTTTTGAGTTTTTGTGGGGATGGATGGAGGAGGAGATTGGGTTGAGTTTTGAGGCGCCTCGAAACTCAACTCAATGCAAGGAGGAGATTGAGAGGTTGGTGGTGGAGAGGTTTGGAGCGGAGAGAGTGGAGAATTATCAAGGCCACTTGGGGATGGACGACGGTGAGATTTCGTTTTATTCAATTCAATTTCATATAATAGGTTCTGTCTGTGAGTTCTGTCTGTGGGTTGAAGGGCAGGCGCCTTCTTGGTTGGCCAGATTTGTTTTTTTCTTCTTTGACTCATCGGCCCATCGAGTCTCGTCCTTTCCCACTTTCCTCCATATGTGCGCTTGTCTTCTCTCCCCTCATCTCCCTCTCACGCGTTGGCGCATCGAGCCTCCGCCTTTCCCTCTTGAGCCCCATACAGGAGCCATGACTTTGCGTGGCAGCAGCATCGAGTCGACTCAAAAGTCACGCGTTCACTCATCGAGCCTCCGCCTTTCCCTCTTGCCTCCTCATACAGCTCTCCCTCCCCACCTTCCCTCCCCCTTTTCTTACGTCCCCTTCTTACCCCACTTTCTTCCCCCCCCTTCTCACCACCCCTCCTCTCTCTCTGCCTTTCCCCCAAAACACCAGTCAAGAAGCTGTTTAACAGAGCTCGGCTGCTCATCGGCCCCTCCAGCCTCGCGCTCTCCTCCCTTCTTATATACCCCTGTCTTCTCTCCCATTTTCTTCCTCTCTCCCCTCCCTCTCCCCCCAAAACACCAGTCAAGAAGCTGTTCAACCGAGCTCGCCTTCTCATCGGCCCCTCCAGCCTCGCACTCTCCTCCCTCCTCTTCCTGCCCTTCAATGCTGCTCTTCTCGAGCTGCTCCCGCCTCCTGCTCTCAACACCTCAGCCCCTGCTGGTAATGCCACTCACCGCTCATACTCCCAGTGGTTTATCACATGTTGACTGCTGGCAACTCTCATCCCTCACCTTGCACTCTCCTCCCTCCTCTTTCTGCCCTTCAAAGCCGTTTTTCTTGAGCTCCTGCCTCCTCCTCGTCTCCTCCCTCCTCTTCCTCTCCTCCCTCCTCTTCCTCTCCTTCAATGCTGCGCTGCTCGAGCTGCTTCCGCCTCCTGCTCTCAATACCACCTCAGCCCCTGCCGGTAATGCCACTGCTCATGCTCCCAGTTGTCTACCCCTTGTTGACTGTGTTGACTGTGTTGACTGTGTTGACTGCTGATCCCTCTCCTCCCTCCTCGTCCTGCCCTTCAATGCTGTCTTGCTCGTGCTGCTCCTTCCTCCTGCTGCTCTCAAGGTGACTTTTGAATCGACTCAAAAGTCCCTTCCTCTTCCTGCCCTTTAATGCTGCCTTGCTCGTGCTGCTCCTTCCTCCTGCTCCTCTCAACACCTCCTCTGCTCCTTCCAGTAATGCCCTACTAGGTAAGATTCTTTTGAGGCGCCTCAAAATATCGACTCACACCGTTCTTTTGCCCCTTCAATGCTGCCCTGCTCTAGCTTCCGCTTTCCAAGTCCTACTCTCAACACCACTACCTCTGGTCCTGCTGGTTCTGCCACTCAGACTTCTATATGTTTACCTGCCCGTTTATTATTCTCTTCCGAGCAAAGAGCTTGGTATGCCGCTGGCTGGCTGGCTGTGCTGAAATCTCCTTTGAGAATTCTCAAAGCGTATGAAGAAGTGTTTTGAGACGTCTCAAAACTCTTCTTCATGCACGCGGCTGTTCTCAAGGTGATTTCAACATGGCTGGTTCGGAGTCGATTCAAATGTCACCTCCTTTTCTGTTGCCTGGCTTTACTCCCTGTGTTGGGGGCTGATCTGATCACACCAGGTTCGGGGATCTGATCACACCAGGTTCGGGGATCTGATCACACCAGGTTCGGGGATCTGATCACACCAGGTTCGGGGATCTGATCACACCAGGTTCGGGGATCTGATCACACCAGGTTCGGGGATCTGATCACACCAGGTTCGGGGATCTGATCACCCCAGGTTCGGGGATCTGATCACACCAGGTTCAGGGATCTGATCACACCAGGTTCGGGGATCTGATCACACCAGGTTCAGGGATCTGATCACAGCAGGTTCGGGGATCTGATCACACCAGGTTCGGGGATCTGATCACACCAGGTTCGGGGATCTGATCACACCTGGTTCGGGGATCTGATCACACCAGGTTCGGGGATCTGATCACCCTTTAGCAATCGACCCTGAAGGGTTCGGGGCTCTGGCAGCAGCAGCAGGCATTATTCGATATGCACCAGTGGTCCTCGTTTTGCGTTGCCTCAGCCGCTTCTTCTTTTTCCCCTCTGAAGGGTTCGGGGCTCTAGCAGCAGCAGCAACAGGCATTATTCGATATGCACCAGTGGTCCTCGTATTGCATTGCCTCAGCCGCTTCTTCTTTTTCCCCTGTTTTGCGTATCTCCCCTCCCCGTTACACCATGTCACCCCGCTGTGTCAACTGAAATACCACATCTTTTCTCCCTGTTCCCTGGCTCGATTCACCAGGCTCGGTTATAGACCCTCAAGGGTTTGGCACTCTTTTTAGACGTCTCAACTTTTGAGACGTCTCAAAAGTGTTCCCTGGCTCGATTTACCAGGCTCGGTTATACACCCTCAAGGGTTTGGCACGCTGGCAGCAGCAGCAGCGGGCATTGTTCGGTTTGCCTCAGCCACCTTCTTTCTTCCCTGTTTTGCGTAACTCCCCGTCACACCATTTCACACCAGGACCAGGTTTGGCTCTAGGCCCTGAAGGGTTTGGCACGCTGGCAGCAGCAGTAGGGATCGTCCGATATGCCGTGCCCTGTGGTCCTCACATTGCCACTCACTCGCTCCTTCTTTCCATCCCCGCTCCTTCCATTTGTTCGATCACACCAGGCTCGGTTTTAGACCCTGAAGGGTTTGGCACGCTGGCAGCAGCAGCAGGGATCGTCCGATATGCCGTGCCTTGTGATCCGTCCCTGAAGGGCCCGGCTGGTGGTGCTGCAGCAGGGGCAGCGGCTGAGTCAGCAGGAGCGGCAGCAGCAGCGGGAGCAACCGGATCAGCGGGAACAGCTGGATTGGGCAGCAGTATGTCGTGCAGGCTTCAACTGGTGGAGGGGGCACTTGATGAGATCATGAGCGCACACTTCAGCGATGTCAAGCGGTCGGGAGCGGTGGAAGGCGGTGCAGGAGGAGGAACGGGAGGAGCTGCTGCTGCGTCTTCTTCTGCCTCCTCTGCAACCCCATCCCTTGTCCCATCCCCACCACCACCATCACCAGCAGCAGCAGCATCACCACCACCATCAACACAACCACCACCATCAGCAGCAGCAGCAGCAGCAGCACCACCACCACCACCACCACCACCTGCTGCGGTGGTAACCCATCCCACCCGCAGCTCCCCAGGTTCAGAGAAAGACGAAGGGCCGCAACCGTCCCCTTGGTACGAGCTGAACGAGCAGCAGTGGGACGAGCACAGGGAGAAGATTGCAGCAGCTGAGGGGGGCGCAGGGGCGTTTGTGACGCGGCTGTTTAACCTCACAGTGCCGCCCGAAAAGGACGAGACAGAGGACGGGGCGGGAGGAGGGGAAGGAGGAGCAGGAGGGGGTGTGAGTGAGGAGGGGGGTGGGAACCAGACAGCAGCGGGAAAGTCCCGCGCTGCCCCTCTGTTTCCAGATTACTCGGATCATATCCCAGGCACGCGCCTGCACACCAAGCGGCATGTGCTTATTTTCAACAAGTGGATGGAGTGTGTTCTAAGAGAGGGAAGGTGGGTGTTTAACGCCACGCCCCGCACTCTACCCTGGGAATACACGGGTTTTATGAACATGTGCGATCACAAGCAGGTGGAGAAGCGCAAGGGGAAAGCGACGTGGGGAGCTGATGAGATGGTGCTGAAAGGGACGAGTCCGGATAAGTGGACGGTAAGAGAAACACTTAAGTACGAGTATCTGGTTCCGGAGGATAAGTGTGGGGCTGCGGCGCTTAAGAAAGTGGTAGATGCAGAGTTAGGCCCGGAAGCTGCTTCTACTGGTGCTGCTGGGGCAGCTGGGGCAGAAGATACCAACGCAGAGGTTCCTGTGTGGAAGAAATTCGACGGGCTGGATTTTTGCAAGCGGGCAGCTGGGGCAGCTGAAACCAGGCGCGACAGGCTCTGGAGCAATGGCTCTTCTGCCCCAGCCGCAAGAGACAGATGGATGGATGATCCCCGGAGAATGCACAAGGGATTCACAGTCTACATAGTAGGAGACTCCCTCCAAAACCTGTTCGCTGCCACGTTTCTCAACCATATGCTGTGGCACGTGAAGAAGAGTGCGGCGTGGGCTTTAAACCGCACCATCTGCTATCAGTGGGTGGAGCACAAGCCGCACGTGCACTGCCATATGAACTTCTTCAACACCTCGCAGGACGTTTGCCCTGGGGCTTTTGCTGGTGATGCTGGTAGTGGTGGTGGTGGTACTGGTGTCGCTGCTGCTGGTGCTGCAGGTGCTGCTGCTGCTGATCCTGCTGCTGCTGCAGCAGGGGGTATCGGCACGAACGGCAGCAGCAGCAGCGACGCGGGTGCGTTCGCCATGCATTTCACCTCCAACCGCTGGCTCACAGTGGGAGACACATTCGTTGCCAAAGAAAGCGTTCCCTGGTCCCAGCACGGCGCATTAGTCGACTCTGACGTGCTCCTAATCAATAGAGGAGCCCATTTTACTGATGATGAGGCTTACGTGAGGGACGTGCGGCGGGCGCTGCGTTTCGTCCGGAGGAATTTTCCGGATAAGCTGATTATCTACAGGAACACTCCTCCGGGGCATTTTAATTGTACGGAGAATCTGGGGCCGTTGGCGGAACGGCAACCCAAGGAGATTTTGCCGTTTAATTGGGGTGGGTTTATGCGGCAAAATGAGCTGGCGAGAAAGTTGGTGGAGGAGGTGGGAGGGATTTATATGGATGTGGAGGGTGTGATGGCTTTAAGGCCGGATGGGCATACCAGCTGGTTTGAAGAAACGCCTCGGGATTGCCTGCATTACTGTACACCGGGGCCCATGGATTTTTACGCGCAGTTTGTTTACAACATATTGCTGCACACTGTTTTGTAAAGTTGATACAGTAGTGTAGGCATCGCTCATTTATATTATGGTAAGCTAAACGCAAGCTGGCTTGATAGTGTTAGTACGAAAGTGCTTGGTGGTAAGGGGATGTGGGTTGTCTTTTAGTGATGCCTACCTTCATGTCAGGGTTGCTTTCAAGAACCGTATGCTCACAAACGCAAAAGGGGCTGACTCTCTATGAATGAATGAACTTAGTGCAGAAACTAAACGAGTAACGAGTATGTGATTACAAAGTGCGACGATACATGACAACGGGAAGTTACATTGTCTTTGGCGCAGGTCTAGCGGATTTGCCAGGGAAAAAACTCTGGTCGAGTTCGTTTGGTCGAGCTCGTCTAGACCCACGCGGAAGCGGCGCAAGCTTGCGCCGAATAAGACAACCCCCACCGCCCGAAGGGCTAGGCTCGGCCTGCCCGTGAAACAGTTGTCTGCCCGAGCAGATTCGTGTTTGCAATGTACCTGGCGAAGCACGTGCTCTTGCCATCGTCAATGTGCAGCCGTCAATTGACGTGCACACTTAGCGCAAACGGTTGCGATGTGATCTATGCGACCACGTCGATACTGAGCTTCGATTTAGAAGTATGTTTAGAGTGGATTTTGTTAACATACAGTGTAATTACAAAGTGCGACGATACATGACAAAATATGGGGTTTCCTAGCTAGCCGGGAAGCCCGGGCGAAGACAAGTTGCGATTGGTGCGGGGGCGAATGGGGAGTGGTTTGGGGCGACGGAGTAGACCGAACGGAACTGACACGTGGTCCTCAGGAGCGCAGGTTCGGCCAGTACCTTGCGCGACGCGACGTCTTGACGTCGTTGGCGAACCAATGGCATACAAGGTGTTATGGTGGCGTCCAAAATTGCGCACGATCGGTCGGTTTGGATCGAGCGAGCCGCGCGATCAGGGAGGCATTTGCGGGGTAGCCTGTACAGATTTTCTCGTTTATAGTCCGACGGATCAACATCGCCGCGCGCGGACTATGTGGCAAACCCTTCAAACACCAGGCAAAGCGCGATACTTAGGGCGCTTCACCTGTCGGTTCGAACAACACACTCGTTCGAACAGGCGAAACGTTACTAGTTTCGCCTATGTTCGTAGTGGTTTTCGTGACGTCGCGAAGCACAATTTCGCCAATTTGAACAGAGCTGTCACCTCAAGCACGATTTTCATCATCCCGCACGTTCGAACACGTTTGTTCGAACAGGTTGGGATAGGTGACACACAATTCCGCACAAACGACTGATATGATTGGTCCACAGTCTTCCGGGTCGCCCATGAACGTTTGCGACCCGGCCAGACGTCGCCATGAACGAGAATGTGCTCGCACGTTCAGCACGAATCGCATGCCTCTTGCCCAAAGGCCAATTCGTGTCGCCAATTCAACCCACCAATACAATTGGAGCCCATTCAATGCCCAACCAACCAAACTCGCCCAGCATGGCAAACGATTCACCTCCCCCCCGAGCCCCTAGTCCCAGCTCAACCGTCGTGCCAGAGACCAACCACCTTGACACCCAGGAGTCACAGACACGTGCTCCCTCAACAGGCACGGAAGCTCCAGCCGGCGCAAACACCCCTGGAGGCACGACTGCTCCTGCACGCACGACCGCTGCTCAAGCAAACACAACTGCTCAAGCAGCCACGAATGCTCGAACCAGCGCGACGGCTACGGTGAGCATTGATCTCACAAATGACCCTGACTGGTGGGGAAACAACCTTCCATCGCCGACTGCTCCATATACTGCCGACGAGGTGGGCGCAAACCCTGATGAGGCCGAGCAGCCAGAGATAGATGACGACCCTGACCCCACGAACACCACCTCCGCTGCTGGTACGGCGTCGACCTCTCGGCGTAGGAGCGATGCTCGCTCTCATCAAAAAATTCCGGGCAAAAAATAACATGATCAAACTTGTCAAAACAATCACAGTACATGTGTTACAAATTGAGCAAGTAGCGCAAATCCGACTGGCATCTCTTCCGCGGGCCAATCGACCCCCACTCCAAGTCCTATGAGGCATGTGCACTCTGCTCCGGCCATGGGCGCTGGCCCCGGTTCCGTCTCCCCGTCATCAAGTGCGCCTCGTACGGGCGCCGGTGTTTCCCTCCGCTCCCGGCGCCAGATCTGGGGCGTCACGCCAGCCACTAATGGGGGGGAAGGGACATCAAGGGGTCCGGCATATGGGCGTCAGAATGAATGGCGTCGCCACCTTGACGATCGCATGGACATGCGCTGGCAGGAATTCAAAGAACTCACCCGTGAGCTCGCACGTTCTCTTCGGGGTAGGCGATAAAAAAGGAGGCGTAGATCGCGTTCTTCAACCTCCTCCTCCTCAGACACGGAGTGAATCCCTCGACTTCCGCCCCGGTATGTTCTTGTGCGGCTGCGGGCCCTTCGAGCCACCACCTATGCCGAGGTGGCTCTGGTCCCAGCCGCACCCGTGTGCCAACTTGCATCTCTATGTTATGCAACGTTACAGCCACGGTGCATGCGTCCACCACCTTCTGCATCTCACACTCCATGCGTTCGTCCAAAAGACGCCATTTCGTTTTCAATCTGCCATTAACTTGCTCTATTATCATTCTTTGCCGTGATTGCTGCACGTTCCACGTGTCTTTGTCTTTTGGCAGCGTCCTTCCAGGGGTTGCGGGGTATGGCACGAATGTGTAATCCCGGAGACCGTATGCCGCGTCCGAGACCAGGCAGTAGTTACCTAGTCGTCCAGATTCAATAAGGCTGCGGGCGCCAGAGAGAAAGAAGACGCGAGCGTCGTTGACGCTGCCAGGGTAGCCAGCAAAGAAGTCCCAAATGATTCCGTTAGAATCGCATATGAGCTGCAGAATTAATGAATAAAAGCCTTTTCTGTTTTTGAAATCCTCGCGGTCTGGCCCCTGTCCTCTACATTTTATGTATGTGCTATCCACAGCCCCGACAACTCCAGGTATTCCCCCTTCAAACCTAAACTCTTCGGCTAGCCTGGGGAGGTCATCTGCGTCGGGCCATGTCACCCAATTCGGTGTAAGGTGCTGAATAACGAACGCCACGAAATGTTGTGTTATACGATAAGCATGCCATGTCGAGACGCCGTGAGCGAGTCCTAGCTGGCTATACGTAGCCCCGGTCCCGAAACGGATTAGTGCCAAAGCAACGCGACATTCTACAGAGACGTGCAGCCTGGCGCCGGGAAAACATGTACGGTAGGAATCGACGATGTAAGAGAACACCTCACGGTCGACGCGGAGGTATTCATAAAATGGAACTGGTTGGAAATACTCAAGGCGTGCGTGCCATATCTCTCTCTGGTTTTGACGATCCCAAGTCCGGAATTCAGCTGCTGCTAGCTCTGATAGCCAGACTACTACGAGGAGGTTTGTTGGCTCCTCGAACAGAGTAGTGAATCCATGAAACAACCAGGTGAGCAGGAGGAGTAGCGCAGCTGGAGACATTGTGACAGGAACCAAGAAATTGAAATGAAGTGCTTGCGATTGGCTCGTGGCTGGCTGTATTTCTAGCAATCCAGTTGGCTCCGCATTTGGTGGTCGCAGCGCTCGAGAAAACACACAAGCGAGGGACCCAATGTTTGGCGACGTCGCTCTTTTGTGGGCGACGTCGCTGTGTTCGAACAGACCGCGTGTGCGAATAGCGATGGCGTCACCTGTGATGGCCTGTGTCACATTCGCTCATTGTACGTATTTGTGTTCGAACTCATTTGGGATACTGTTCGTACAGTCAAACTGATACGTCGGTTCGGATTTTGGCCTTCCGCCCCTCAGGTGAAGCGCCCTTATAGTCCCGTTCAGGAAATTTGCATGAAGAGTGTGTTAAGAACTAAGGCAAGGATGATGGAATTAGGTGAAGGGGTGGGTACAAGACTAGGGTATCGAGAAAGTTTCTGTACCCCTTAGTGCTAACCCCAATGCGGCCTAGATAACCTAAAAAAATATATATAATTTGACACACCCCCATAGGCGAAATGGGGGACAGCCAGAACAAGCAACAGTCACAAGACCACTCAAGCGAAGAAAAAAAACACAGCTCAGGGTGGATCACAACGTCACCACGCAGTCTGAGCACAAGCAAAAGGCCACAAGGCCAATTCACATGCAGAGATATATACGTAACAACAATAGCACAGTGATCTCTACCTACCAGAGCAAGCATGCAGCAATATATATAGATCACAGTACAAACAAAGCCTACAGCAAGTGAGGAAGTGTGGGCACTAGGCCTAACAAGGTGCAGAAACGCTGATGATCACCAGACGGAAGCGCCTTAGTGAATATATCAGCAGTGTTGGCCCGAGTGGCCGCGTAAGCAAGACGAAGCTGGCCACGCTGCTGCAGCTCTCGAGCAAGGAACTAACGCAGAGCGATGTGCTTCGTTCTGTGCTCCAGTCTGTGCTCCTGACACAAGGCAATGGCGGCCTTGTTGTCGACGTACAGAACTGGAGGAGAACGAGGCCGCTCTCCCAAGTCGGTCAGCAGGTAGGTGAGCCAGCGTAGCTCCTGTGCAGCCATGGCTGTGGCGTAGATCTCGGCCTCACAGCTGGAGCCGAGAACTGAAGACGAACGTGTAGAACGCCAGGAAACTGAACCAGAACCAAGGCTGAAGGTGTAACCGTGTGACGACCGCTGCGTAGCCAGGTCGTCAACCCAAGAGGCATCCGAGTGACCAGTGAGGACAACGTCACCCCGTCCTCCAAGCACGAGCCCCATGCCCGATGTACTGCACAAGTAGCGTAGTACCCTCTTAGCAGCATCCATGTGCACCTTTCGGTGCCAACCAGGAGCCACGTAGCGAGTCAGAAGGCCAAGAGGGTACGCTAGGTCAGGACGAGTGCAGGTCATCAGGTACATGAGGCAGCCCACTAGCTCTGGGTAAGGACCACTCAGCTCTACGGACTCGTCCGAAGGTGGAGCTGAGAGCGAGTGACCTGTAGCCAGAGGAGTGGCCTGTGCTGAGGACCAGGTGAAGCCGAAGCGCTGAAGGA